AAAACAAGTGAGCACCTTGATGGTCCCACGTTAAAATTTCCTGAGGGTTTCTTGGCGATTCTAATGGGCAGCTGGACTGAGATTCATCAGACTGGGAGATCTGTCCTCCCTGTTGGAGGCTGGGGTCCACCTGGAGGACCTTGTTCTGTCTGCCCAGCATGACTTGTATGTTGGAGAACTGGGATCTTCAGGTCAGAACTGCTTCACCTGAGCCTTGGGAACGCTTTTAATTAACTATCCAGGTTGCCTTTGAACCCAGCCCCAACACTTAGTAGGTGTGTGCACTTGACCAGGTGTGGGAGCTCTCCCCACCTGGTATCTTGGCTCACCTGTTGATAGGAGGGCCGCAGGAGTGTGAGCTCTGAAGTTAGAATGGGGGTGCTCAGGAGTAACGGTTGACACTAAGCTCTTAATGTGTCAGGCACCTTTTTACCTGCCTCCAGCATATGAATTCATTTACCCAAAACCCTTGGAGGTAAATACTCTCCTAAACCGGAATAGAGCATGAACAATGTGTCTGTGTCCCAAGGTCAGGAACCCCTGCCTAGTCTATAACTACTGGTCCCTGAGAGATTATTGCCAGAACAATGAAACCAGTAAAAACTACACATAATAGGTTAATTTTGTCAACATACCATAATGTTACAAATTGTATCCTAAACTCAGTGAAGAACTTAAGGGAATTCCAGACACAGCAAATCAGTTTGACACAGCATCACCAATTATTAAACCTCTTCTTAAATGTGCAGATACTCTGTGCAGCAATATCCTTCCTTTACTTCATCCATCATTCACTCCCTATTTTTTAATGTATAGTTTGAACTCTTTTTTTACAAGTATGTTAAGCTTTATAATTAGTTCTAAACAATTACATGTAATTTAAGATTAGAATTAGGTTAACATGTCAGGGTTTGTCATCTGCTGATCCTAACTTAGAATTGTAAATATTCCTGTTAAGTATACTGTATGTGTATTGTTGGAAGATATTAGGAATTTAATTGAAGATTCCTCATGCCCACTGAAATTGATAATAAGGGCTCATAGGTAGCCCCAGAATTCATCCTTATTTTATTCCACTACCTTAATATTGAACCAGACAGGTTAGCATCACCAGGAAGTCTACTGAAAGACAGCCATTGCCTTGATTCACACCTGGGAAACTGTCATTAATAGACAAATCTATGAAAAAAAAAAACAGTATAACCTTTGTAACTCCAAGAGAAATTGGAATATGCCATGCAGACTTCAAATTAAGGTGAATTCTCAGGCATGGAGTTAATGTAGCTATATTGAAAAAAATATCAGAACTTCGTTGTACTGTGTACATTACAGTTGTTTGGGTTGGAGTTTGGGCAGAAGAAGAAAATCAACATTTATTGGGACTAAGGACTTATGCACGTTACTTATAGTTGAAAAATATAAGTGTTTCTGAAAAATGTAAGTTTTAGACTCTTATATTTTGTTTGTCTGCCAGTTTGAGCTTATACCTTTACTGCGCTCCTCACTCAGGGACGCCAGGCAGTGGCAGGTGAGGGGACACAGCAACTGCTAACCTTCTTAGTTGTCAAGTTATGCATATAAAGGATACCAATAACAGGACTGCTGAGACAGGAGGACCTGCCACCATCATATAAACTTTTGAGAAACTGACCTGGCAATATTGATTACAATTTATCAATAGTTGGCCTTTTGTCCAACTAGGTGGTATAGATAAATAGTAAAATCAAAAAGGAAAATAAAAAGATATTTAGGAAGACAGGTTATCTACCAGCTAGAAATAAAGGCCCCACTAGAAAAGGGTCACAGAGCTGGTGTGTGTTACTAAATCAATGCTGTTTCATCCACTGAGCATGTCATCTCTGCACATAAGGGCACCTGGCAGCTTTATATTTGAATGCTGGGATTGGCCAGTGAATGTTCGTCTGCAGGGTAAGTTCTATCAAACTCATCTGTACCCTGTGACTTCACGTCCTCCCCGTATAAATAGAACTTCAGTAAGCACTTGGAACAAATACTCAGAATGAGTATGTCGTCAATATTTATTTCTGCACAGAAATGGAATAATCACTAAGTTGCAAGGGTTTTGTTCCTGGGGTATATGCCATTCTATGCACCACTCAGTCTTACATTCTAGTTGCTAAATTCAGAGGAAGGTTCATAACTGATTGGTTCTGGAGCTGCTCTGCACAATACAGTAGGCACTAGCCACATGTGACATTTTAAATCTGAACAAAATTAAAATCTGAGTCCTCAGTTGCACTAACTACATTTCAAGTTGTTCGTGACTCCTGTACTGGACAACAAAGGTATAGAACATGTCTGTCATCTCAGAAAGTCCTGTGGGTAGCACTGAGCTGGGCACTTCTTGTCCCTGAGGACTAACATGGTCAAGTGCACTTAACCAGCTTCCTCCAGGTGGCATCTAAGGCTACAGTTGCCAGATAAAATCAGATAAAACACGGGATGCTCAGTTAAATTTAAATTGCAGATAAGCAATAAGTAATTGCATTATGAGTATGCCCTGAAATACTGCATGAGACATACTATACTAAAACAAAAATTGTTCTTTATTTGAAATTCAGATATGACTGATCACCTTGTATTTGCATTTGCCAAACCTGGCAGCCTTATCTTTTCCTTGTTTTGTTTTTTATCTATTGTTTTGTTTTTCTTTTCTTGGCAACCTTATCTGAAGAGCAAAATCAGAGCA